AGGGCGGATAGCAAATACACTATATTGAATTTTATATATCTATCCATAACAGATTATACACGTTATATTTTTAAAATGAAATTAAATGATAATTAAAAAATCAACATTTATATTCGTTATTCTTCTATAAATTATTCAAGCAAATGTTTCCTCTCTGAAGAATCTCTATATATATCTTGTTCCACTCAATTTGACATCAAAGTCTATGGATAATCGTCTCTCCAAAGATATTATGATGTTACCATCAATAACAAACCAAATGATGTTTTACCAACCAAGTTCAGATTACCCTTTTATATATTGATATATTTACTTTGGTGTATTGAATTGAATAAATAAACATCATATCGTTAATGACTTCATGAGCAAATACCTTCTTATGATTTGCATGAACAACAAATGATTTATTATTCATTGTGTCTTCAAACATCTGAATGTTTACATGTGAGTATTATATAATACCTTGAAATAGTAGTTTTCTTTGATAAAATAAATTAACAATCATACATACTTTATGAATAAATGACTCTAAATTTTGATTTTTCTTCCAATCATCACAATCTCATTAACATACAAGGATCTGAGTACATAATAATTGATATCTTCTCTTAACACTGAAAATTGAAACTTTCCTCCTGTTATTAATGTAGCTTTGTGAAACTAATGAACATTCATTGACCATTTTCTACAATTTTCATATACCTTTCATGACAACTGTACGAATATGTATGAATTCATATGTATAGATACTGGAAACAAAGTATTGTTGAAGATGTAATAGTTCATATGGCTAAAACATGCAACACATAACTGATGAATGCAAGCAACACATTAAGTATTACTCTTATTAGTAAAGTTAGTGAAAAAATTTTTATGAAGTTTGAATGACATGTTTTAAGACAATACGTATTTGCAATTACTCAAATAAAAGCTAAAGAAAAATATATGATACTAAACTAATGGTAATTTTTGCAACTTTTTTTAAAATTGATAAATTTCTAATGATCATCTTGAAATGAATTCAAACAAGAAAATGCGAACAGAAAGTCAACAGAAATTATACCTGGTTGATCACTTTGAATTACATCTGCAAAAACACCAAAAAATTCAATGAAATATACTCATTTATGTTACAAAGAGCTACAACCAACTTTCATATATAATGATAAAGTGCCTAGCCTAATTATATCTTACAGAAATGAACAAAGTTAAGAAAACTTGAATAAACTCATAATAAATTCTTCCTTGATCATATTTTGGATAGCATAATCGCTAGAATGTAGATAATCACTCTAAATAAAATATCAAAAGAAAATCTAACATAGTTATTTTTATAATTTATAGCTAGTTAGAATTAAATCCTAGCCATAACATGATTGGGTCAAAACATATATAGAGAAAAATATTGTTAAGAAATTTTACTTGTGCTCTTTATGCAAAACTTGCAAAGTAGCACAATGTCTATTAAAACTTTCCAAAGATTTTAAAGAAGAATAGAGATTTCAATGAAAAGAACATAGTATTGATTTATACTTTTGAAGCTTAAAGAATCAACGACTTTATTCAATTTGCAAAATGTTCTTTCTAACGTTCTTACAATCTTAACAAGTTATGAACTTTTTTTAAAGATTTTTTAGATTGATTAGAATCAAATATGAGCAATTATTTTATTCAAAAATATAGTGTAAATAATTTAAGAAAATAAAAAAGAATCTTATGACTAGTGAAAAGTTAAATATGCTTCACTAAATCTATTGTTGGTATTCTAGTGAATATCACCAATCACTATTTCAAGCTTACTTGTTTGCTATAAAAATCGAGCAATCAATTTCTTCTTGTAACTCATATTGACGATAGACATAATAAAAAAGGGCCAAAGAAAAGTGAAAATTGCTGATTTCTCCAAGTCTCAGTGCTTATTACAAAACAAAAAATCAAAGCGTCAAGGTGTTCTTCACTTTCACAATCCAAGCCATCATTTATTTCATTTTTAGTAGAATTCAGCTTTCACATTTTGTTTCAATATACTCTAAAGATTAGCTTGAACTTGTTTGAGTTGCAAAAGTGATCAATGAATCTTTGACTAAAATCATTTTAATGCTAAAAAAAGAAGAAGAAGATTTTTCATCGAGTTACTCCTAACACTCAAACTTTTTTCATTAGATTTTCAAAGTTTAAAATTCATCAACGTTAATGTCAAAGCTCTAAAATTAATATGCAATGAGTTCTCTACAATGATTACAATTCACAAATCAAACACTTTTAGCCATTTAAATTATCTAGGATATCGAGGTTTTTACTTAACCTAAAATGCTTACTCGGAGCGTTTAAGTTTTGTTTTATTCGATGGGAGCACTTTGAAGGTACACATCACGCATGTTCTAGTGTGAAAAGATGTTGCAGTTGGTGAAATTGTGACAGCGAAATTATCTTGTCGTCCTCATTGAATCTCTCAAATCTCCACACAGCGCAATTGGACCCGGATACTTCTTTGTCCGAGAGTTTTCCATTGCAACAAAATTCGTAAATTACCCAACACTTGAATCACAAGTCCTCCGCTTCCTTCTTGTGAATTTTCTCCACATATTTCACACATCCGCTGTTGCTCACAAAGTCTAATTTTCAACAGCTCAATTTCCAAAACCTCTGTGCACTCGTGACAATGTTTGTCAAAGTTCATCGTTTTGAGATTTGCGATCACAAAGGTCTCCTCATATCATATACGAGCTTTAGTGCATAGGAACAACTTTTAGAAGTTGGCGGCGATGTGCCGTCGTTAGGATCCCAACGGATAAACTAAACTTGATGGGTTCCATCAAGCAGTTTAGGTTCCGATGGGGTTTCATCAAGTAAATAACTCTAGAATCATCAAAAGTTCAAGTTAAATGCGGAAATGTTTGATATTAATAGACTTCACAAAATTGCATACATCAGCGCATCTGTCAGTGAAGTAATCTACAACATTGAACATTGCAACTGCAAAGCTTAAACACGTGAAGATTCTTAAACAACACACAAACAAACTAAACACAATCATATAGGCGAGCTTAAACTAAAAATTTTATCCAAGGTTTTTCTTGTTAGTAAAATCTGACTACTTGCTCAGATAGTAATTGATAAGTATTAAAATTATAATGTGCAATCAGATAGCAGACAAAAAAATACATGATTCATCAAAAATAATACATGGGTAATGAACATGTTTTAGTCCAACAAAACACAACAAACTAATTTTTGTTGTGTAATGGAAATGCAACACAAAAAAAAAACCCGAAAGCACAAAGAGTAGATGCATGCAGACTTTACCCTGCTTGTCAGGGTCAAGCTACGTCCATGGAAACAAAAGGGTTTATTAGAAATCAGAAAACAATGTTTCGGCTAATCTCCGTATGGCCATACTATTTAGTCTAGAGAAGTTACTTGGGTTATCTTTTGACTTGAGTTATCACTAACATGTTATAATGAGATACCACCAACTTTCATATATTACAAGATACTATCTAGCTTAACTAACTTGGATTAACTTAACAAAAATTAACCGGGATCTGAATTAACTCCTAACACATCTTCCACAGTCTAACATGTTGTCTTAGTATTATATATAATTTAGTTTGAAAGCAAAAAAAATTAAAACTATGTCAAATTATTTGTAAGTTGTATTAAATCATGTGCCCACCAAGTGAATGATAATTCCGAAAAATAAGTTCTAGCTTCATCCTGAATTGCACGGAAGCTTCCTGGCCTAAGCCCTAAGTAGGGAAAAAGAAGTATATAAAATAAACATGAATTTATAATATTATAACCCTTTTAACTGTTTAAATGAGATACTATCTCCTTACACAATATCATCATCAGTATACCAAGTCCAATCTAGCTTCATCACGAAGTGCACAAGACACCATACATGACTGGTATCTTGGCATGATCTTGTATATATAATCTTAAGAAAGCTTTAAATTGAATATAATTAGATGCTGAATTCCTCCCTCAACATAATTATCATACCAATTCCAATCAAGTTTCTTCATGAAGTGCCAAAACATCATATAAAAAGAAACATGAGAATGTAATCTCTACAATGCTTTTCATTGAAGATAATTGTGATGCTGACTCCTTCCACAACATTAACAAGTCCAATCTAGCTTCATCATTAGTTCCACGTGATAACATATATAATAAACATGAACATAATTGCTATGCTAACTATTTCCACAACGATATCAGTATATCAAATCCAATTGACAAAGTATCAACGTAAAATATGTGCAAGCATGGGTAAAATAGGCGATCGTATGCCACGATGCCTAGATTACCTAGATGTCAATGTGGTGTCTTGACTAAATTAACGACTTGTATATGGCTCATATAAGGCATACGTCTTACTCGCGGGCTGAAATTAACACAAGACTGGGCAACCGAATAGAGGTTCCCCAAGTAGATGAAATTATATCAATCCAAGAAATTCTTTGGGTTGGTACTCAAACAAGTGGAGAACAAAAGTTGAAAGCCTTTGAAAGTGACATTCAGAGTGAAAGTCCCAAGGATCATTCAAGATGACAATTTTGTGGCTAATCCTCGTTTGACATGTAATGAAAATGAGTATAAAATCGCTCGGTATCTTTCGTTGAGTCAAATTTATAAAATGTGGATTTTCAGATAGAAAGAAGGTTATAATGTTAAACTCCTCCGTTCGAAATACTAGCTTTCAATTTTATTGAGCACTGCTCTCGATTTCATGGTGTTTACAAGTTCAATATGCACGAGAAATTTCAGTCTCTAAAACTTGACTTTTGGAGTATGTACAAGTGGCTACAAAGAAATTTGCCGTCAGATTGACAAACTGCAACTTCTTATAGGCTTCAACTATTATTTGCAGTTTGATCCGTCTTCAAACATTGTATCTGAAACATGATCACGAGGTAAATGAAGCATGGAACGGTAGCAACTTAATGTAATATATGGACAATAGACCACTAACAAAGAAAGAGAATAGTACGGCCAAAAAGTTCCTCTTGAATTGCTTCCATGATTATTGGGTGCTGTTTCTCAAGTTTAACCATTTTCAGTTGATTCTATATCTTTGACAAAGCATTTACCAGATGATCACTTCCAGAAAAAACTCCTTTCTTAGCTAGCACCGATGACTCGTGAAGGTCAACAATCGTAACAGCGGGTTTGTGCTGTTCCACAGCTTTTCATTGCATTGGCAAGCACTAGTGTATACAATAATCTTATTATCCTAACACCGACTCTCACATAATCATTTACTCCTATACAAGCGCATGACATCATGGGCCGTGCAGTTGCTCAGTGCACAACCTCAATCACACTGGGCTCTTCAGTCGCCCATTAGATTGGAATTGATCAAGTTTAACCACCAGCCGATTAGTCCTTAAGACCACTTTAATCATAACTTCCTGCTTCGGGTTGACTCTCTAAAGAGATAAGATCCAGAAGAACTTTCCTCAAAATGTCCAGCGACAGGGGTCCAAGGAAACGCTGATGGTGCCCATTCTCAGAGACCATGTCTTCCTTTCCTGAAGATTCGTCCATACCAAAGCCCCAGGTTCTCATCCACCAATTGATGCAATGTGCTTTAACGTCGGGACACGCAACAATGGCAACGTCATCACAGCTCTCCAGCTGAAATACAACACTAAGAAGATCCCTTGAAACTTTCAATCCCATATTTACTGCTTCATCATGAAGCCACGAAACGAGCTCCGTCGCAATCTGCAAAGAAACATATGACAAGCTTTAGTTTCTACAGCGATGACGCCGTTGAGTGAACATAAGCAAGATGAACAAGTTTTCATAACGTTCGCATTTGGTAGATTCTTGACCTATAAGCCTCGTACCTGAAACAGTAAGAACGTGGGTAATTCGGATATGCCAACATTGTGGATATTTAATGGTAGAATCTCCTGTGGTGAAGTCTTAGAAGGGGCTTCAAACCGTGACTCTCCTTCCAGCCCTTCCACTGTAAGAGATTCATCTCTTAAGACGATAGTGCACTGAAACCATGACTCCTTGTTTTCAGTTAAAGCGGCGTCTTTTCCTCTTTGCGAGGATACAGGAGTAACGAGGGAAAGGTCCCACGCAGAAACGCGAGGATGCCATGTGGGATGGAAAGACAGTTGCAGATGAGGAATTTCCGTAACCTGTAGAAAACGTGAACAGATTTTAGTGGCAGTGAAGAAGAATTATACTTCTCGGCAGAAGCTCATTAAAAAAATAGATAATTACCTTGACACACACACAACCTGACTAGGCCTAACCAATCTTCCCTTCACTTCATTGTTCCATCGAAGTTCACATAGTCAACTGAAACCACTTAAAGAGACGAGGCACATATTCAACTGGCTGACAGCATTGATACCTGCTTCTCAAGCTCTGCCAGTACTCTGTTACATAAAACACGATGACGCATGATTGCCGAGAAATGTTTGATTGCACTGGCCCCATCCCCTGAAACCGACTCTTTTGCGGGTCCAGATGCACCCGTGGCCGATGAAGGTTCTCTCGTCTTCGTCAAAACTGGGGTGTCTACTGCGTTCTTCCCGTGGCCCAACTTAAAGGTCACTAATCCGTTGGGCAAAACGGTTGGATAACCAAAAACGCACTGATGAAAAGCCTGATGCAAACAAACAACCAACGCTCTTTCGTTTGGAATAATGCGTCGTCCGTACAACTTTAGGCTTGACCATTCAGCATCTGCTTTATCTAGAGTCTGAGAGTTTGTTGCTGATTTAGTAGGACCAAGCTTTCCACCGTCTTCGTCCTCATCGTTGCCGTCTTCGTCATCCTGAGCATCCGTGGGACCTAGGTCGTGATTGCGTTTGGCACTTTCCGAGAGCTCAAGAGTGAGACTGGCTGAGTGGCCAAGACTAAACTGCAAACAAGTATCACCGATTCCAAGAACATTCATACCGGAATTGGCCATTAAGGCTTCACGACCTACCCATTCGAATACCTGCACAATACGAGAGACAATAATATTCAGTCACATATTTAAATTTGACAAGAAATCCGCGCTTAGGCAAAGAACAGCACACTGATGGTATACAGTAGATGTCTCGAAGGAGAGACAAGAAAATGTTCAGTAGTGCAGAAAGCTTGAAAATTCATATGTATACCTGTTCATCAAATATAACAGCCTGAATACGCCGTAGAACAACCTGTGCACCTTTCGCACCGGTGTCAACTCCTTCTCCAACTCCTCTATTTTGACTGCCTGCCACATCAGATCCTCTTGCTGGATCCTCAACTTTGCCTATCCAGTCTTCATCTTTCACATCTTGGCGTTCCCAGACTGTGCGTCCAGGTTGCGTTGATCGGAGAGATATGTTCAGCTTGTTCAGAGGTTTCCCCGACGGAGTCAGTGCTTGGAGGAGGCCACTGACGTCCTGGTCAAGGTTCACCGATGCCAACGCCGCAGCTCTGGCAGATGATCCACTTGAGGAATCAGCTGGAAGAGGGAAAGATAAATCGATGGAAAATCCAGCGCTTCCACCCGGTCCAGCAGAGACACCTCTTTGACGCTTTACTTTCCAATTACGCTGAAGTCTGCAAGGCAGTTCAATGTCATAGTAGTCGAAACTTATGAAAGACACTTATGTATCAAGTTGGTAAAATTTCAACCTGCCACTAAGAAAATGTGATTATTCAGTATCTTCTAAGTGCGTGATGCTAGGGCACTCCAAAGTACAAGCTTGCGTTGTAATCAACCTCATGAGTGCACCATAAAATACTGCCTCCCTTTCAACCTGCCGCTCCAGTGCTTGCGCAGTTTTTTTCAAGTACTTGCCGACTTCCTGAAAGTAACAGTTTGCACACATGTTATTAATAGAGCTACATTCCTCCCTACAATTGCAGATTGTTGGTCAACTGATGCCCAATATGACCTAAGAGAGCAACTCTGTCATCTAGAGTCGACATGTATACACACTTTTCCTCTTTGACGACATTTAAACGAGAGTTTAATATCCACTGAGTGAGAACCTTACCCGAAACTTATTGTTCTTCGCGGCAGCACGGAGGCAGATCTCATTGAAAGTTTCGTGTGGTAACATCTTCGGCTTCATCATGTTCACAACCTGGACCGCCTCATTTGCTTCAACCTAAAACCAAAAACCTGTGTGAGTAGTTCGTTCTACACAGGTGGAAGATGCCAGTAAACTTCCCGTCGTCATCTATGACAAACCTGATTCGTCATGTATTTATGACCATTTAAGAAGAAACTGAAGCAGCTCGTTCGGCACTGCATCTTGAAATAATAATAACCTCGAGTATGGACGCTTAATATAATGTTCGACCGTAATCATAAGATTTTTTCCTGTCATGGACTCAAGATCATGTGCAGAAGGTTCAAGATAGCGAGGAACAAGTCAGTTTGTGGCACATTCTTCTTCAGCTGTTTATATGATTCATAGAAGTCACATGGAGAGCTTTGAGAACTGGGACGTGAGCTCTAATTTCTTTACGGTGAACTCTTCACATGGAGAAAGTGAGAGAGTTCACCTTAACAAGAGATTGAAATGCTTGTTCCAGCTACGTAGAATTCTTTCTTCAGAAAACCTTAGCCTCGGCTTTGATAGCAATGGCTATCATTAAGCAGCAATTATGTCCTCTTTGACAAAAGAAGACATTCATGCTGCTTAAAGATGAAGAAGCTACCGAAAGTGAACTCTTCATAGACTTTACTACTGGTCTTGGTGAAACAGGAACTGCATTGCATCATGATATGATCGCCCAGTATTCCTCTTACGGTCTCACTCCCAGAGGTGGTAACAGAGCAAGCAATCAAGTGTACTACGATGCTTACATAGAACACTGTAGAACAACGGATCACCAAAACCTAAATATACAGACCCACATAATCCCGACATTTTCGAGCTGTTCAGCTTGACTGTCTATAAGGGGTGAGAGCCTTACATGGGTTAGAAGATCAAGAATAATATTCAGCTCCTGTTGTGCCTGTTGCAGGTTTTCAGCTAATCCTTGCCAAGGCCATGCTGCCGGTGGTGGTGGTGGAGCATCCTTTCCGGCCTTGATCTTTTTCGTATCTTTTTCAACAGTATGTCCGAAGTCTATTCGTGACAGCAAATGCAGGGGCTTTTCTTCAGGAGTCGGCTCACTACAAAGTACAATACAAATCCGTCAGATGAAAGATACCACTGACTTGTATGCAAGCATTTAGAAACAGCTTTTACTAAACATTTCGACTACATTTACCATACACATAGGCTACGGATCTGTCACCGTCACTCTAACGTCACTCCTAACCCCTAAACCCGCAACTTAGATAAAGTCATGGATGTTATTGCTTGAGAAATGGGAAAGAATTGACGCGGCCAAGCACGGGAATTTGCCAAAAAAAAAGTTCTCGTCATTTGTATATCGAGAAAATGTCAGTGTAAGGGGTCCAATCGAACTAGAGAAGAAAGATCACACAAGCAGAAGCAAAAATTATAACACTCCATACTGACTCACATTGGTAAAATTTCCAATCCAGCCTCCTCCAAAGCTAGAACGCGCTTCAATGGGAGCTTGTCCAGTGTAACCACCAGGCTACCCGGGGGCGCCATGGCCGCCAGAGCAGAGAGTCGAATCGCCCTCCTTGACCGACTTCTCCCCCTATTCTAACATTCCAACAGATATCAAATCAAATGTGCACCGCTATCGCAGCTGATACACCCGTCCAATCTCTCATTTCTCACAGACATCGAGTAAAAAGAGAACTGGTGAATCCTCAGCACAAAATTTGCTCCTATCAGTCGAAGCCTTCTTGCGATCTCCAAATCCTCATTTACTCGAGGAAAGCGAACTGCGACGAACAAGCTGGTACCGGAAGGGCGGAGTAATTTTGAACGATGTCCTGCAACGTCCACTCGGTTTCAGTCGCAACATGGCGGAAGTTACTTCCACAGTGAAGCGCACGCACAAATTCTCCGTCATGGGACAGTGTGCAGAGGGATCCGCAACTCCAGGTCGACTTGTTCATCTCTTCTCGTTGACACAGATAAAGGAGGTTTTCTCTGAAGATATTGGGTCCAGAACCTCTTAAACTTTTGGTTCATTACTAAGGGGTTTAGTTTCTATCATATATTCAATGTAATCGAACTGTCTTATATTTTAAGTGATTATCGAATCGAAATTATCATGCTTATAAAATTTTAGGTAATATAAATTTGATCATGCAGAGTGACATTTATTAAGATTGAAAGTTTTATTTATGTAAATCTTCTCAAAGCCACATGTCAAAAGATTGTATACCGACGATTCTTTCTACTCGTTCCTATTTACTATGTAAATTCCAAAAGTAGATATTGTGTTGTAGATTTAATCAAGTGCTAACAACCCATTGACTTTTTTCACAATGAATAAATACATTCCGAGTGAAAATTTGAATGTTATAGTATAGATACTCCCAAGGTTTAATCTTCATTTGCAACATTAGTGAAAAAAAGGTTATGCAAAATTATGAGTAAAGTCAAAAGCTTGAGCGGTTCATGATCCCGTACTACATTCACATCAACCCAAATATTTTACTTCTAGAAAAAACCTAAATTGTGTCTTTGACAACTTTCATGAGTTATATTTTATAGTGATAATTAAACCAGCTTTATGAATTAAATGTAAGCTAATCTGAGTTACAAAAATACATGAATTCACCCCTAACCCTATTCATGATTAGTCAAATTAATTTACACGAGTTATCTCCAACTTTTTTCATGTTGTCATAATACTCGTAATTTTTATAAATATTTTGTAAAAATCTTAGAAAAAACCCTAACATAATTTAATCTTTAAGCTAGAACCAAGTCATAGTCAAAACATGATAGACTAAGATACTTTAAAAAGATAACAATTGGTAATAAATTTTTATTTGTGCTCCTTATGCAAAACCTTTAAAATAACACAATATGTCATTAAACTCTCTAGTTGATTAATTCTGGTGAACATAACAATTGAATTTGACAAACTCAATCTTTTCATCAAAATTTGCATCCTATTAAAGTGATATTTGATGTTCATGTGTTTCATTTGACTCTTCATCATTTAATTTGTAATCCTAACACACAATTTAACTATCACAAAGAAGATTGGTAGCTTTTTATTTCATATCCAGATAAATATGTTCAATCAAAAACTCTAATCTTTTGTTAGATGATTTCTTAAAAAAAATCATCAAACAAAAAATCGTAATTTTGAAAAATCTTGAAATACATAAAAATCCACTTCAAAGCTTTGTTAAAAGTAATCTAAACTCATTTGAAGTAAGGTATGTTTGACGTGTAATGCACACATTGAATGTATTTGTCTTAAATTGATCATATTTATATTTTCAACAAATCCATATTAACATAACTTGCCAAGATCATATTGGATTTAGCCAAACTTTTCATCTTAAATTCAACATAGGCTTCAACTGACATTTTGCATTTGTCAATATTGGGTTGATTTTTTGTTAAAATGTACAAGTCTATAATGTAGAATACTAGACTAATGATATTCATGATTCATGTACAATACTTTCAATCATACACACTTCATGAAATTTTCTGTGTATTAATGAATTCATCAAATCTTGCATTTTATTGCATGGGGAGCTTGCTACAATATATGTAATGATTTCAACAATCTACACATCGACTTTATGGATTTTCTTTTCAAAATTTATTTATTATTTTATATAGATTTTATATTCTAAAAATCCTTAGTAAGATGTTGTAACATTGATCAGATCAAGTGCATGTATTAATCAAATTGTAGCATGTTTTGATACAATTAAGAAAAATTTTTTGTAATTTATTTATTTGACTCTTGAAATTTTCTTGCTATCAATTTGACTATATAAATACTTTTTGATCTTTTTTACAATAATTTTCTGCTTATACATCAACTTATTGTCATGAAAAGATTGACTCTTTCGAAGTTTCATTAAGTTCATATGTTATTATCAATTACCAATTGCAATTCATGATTCATAATAGAATTTCATTCTGTTTTATTGATAGAAATTTCAATTACATTAAAATTTCATTAAATCTATATCCTTTAAATGGGTTGGAAGTGATTTATAATACAGTAGTATAATATCACTTATATAATATCACAACTATACATACATATCCATAGATTTAACATACTCCCTTATAAAATTTGCTTTTGCTAGTTCAAATTGCTGATTGAGAACAATTTGATATCGAAACATGGTTGAAGTTGCTTAAAACTCTGAACAACACTCTAAGAAAATTACTACTAAACACGATTCAAATTGAGATTCTCTACATGATTTTCTTAAGGTGAAATATCAAAACCTGCCGTAACAGCAATAGACTGAATTATGGGGCAGACAATAAGACGAACTCATCTGGAAATATGATGAATGCAATGCTATAAAACACTACTCCTTTTTATAATATGGCTGATTAGCTAAATTTGTATGTGTTTTTTCCTTTGAATGCTGTCATGATGTTGACGACAACAGTAATATTACTTAGAAGTAACTTACGTTATTACTCATAGAGAGAAAAGAAAAGAAAAGATCAAGCACAACTCTCTTTCAAATCATTTGCTTCAAATTCTTCGTACTAATCATGTGTATAAAGACCTCTATGATCTTATCAAATGAGCTATTTATCACAATTCTTTATTCGTTTATATGAGGAAGACATTGATAATTAAATTCATATTTTTGAAAACATGAAGTAGAATTTTTTTAATGTAATTAAAAATATTAATATTCAGATTATGTGAATTTTTAAAATCTGCTCCAATAAAAATCAAATCTTATTTTTGAAAGAGTTTGTTCCTTCATTGATCTATATTGAAATCTTGTTAAATATAATCTAAATCAAACATATTTTTATCCACACCAATAAAATAATTAGATTTGATATTGATTGATCCATAATCAGTTTGATTTATTTAACAAAAAAATATTTCAAGAAAAATTTGGATCACTACTATCAAATGATTAAGATTTTAAAATAGAAGCAGAAGGATTCATAAAATACCTAAAAAAATTGATTTGAATGAATGAGATCTAAATTTTGAATTTGATGCTATTTTTAAATGGAATAGAATTTTTCCAGCATATATCAACAAAAAATGAATTCATCACTTTCAGAAAAAAATAATTTAATATGTTATTATGGAAATGCTTGTGCTTCACACAATGTAATTGTGATTACTTGCAGATTAAAATGTAAATATGTTATCAAATAATGATGAATTTTTCTTCAAATTTCAATTACTATGACATCACAAACTTTGTTTATAATATTTTCATTAAAATTTATCAGATTATGTACAAATTTTTAGAAAATTACATGCAATTGTATTGTTCAAGATCTACGTATTTAAGTTATACATCTTTGGATCAAAAAACTTAATCATTTCATACACAAAGATTCCTATCTTTTTGGATTTATTTTATTCAGATTTTTTACATTATTTTTCTTTTGAAAAAATCTTCAGATCATAAAAATCCAAAAGAACGAGCATTAAAAATATCATTATGGATGTCACAGAAAGAAATTGTTGATAATATCAACAAACCAAATGAAATTTTATGATAACAATTTTTTTAAACAATTTCAAATTTTCTTGGAAATTCCAGTCTCCAGATGTTGCTGAAATGATATAACTTATTGTTGATTGTTGTAACTTTATTTACTTCAAAACTTACTATCAACAGTCATAAAATCCAATGAAAATGTTGTTGTACATCTTTGTACAAGACCCGAGGTTGAAATACTACAGGCAAGGTCACTAAAAAACACCACATAAAATTTATAAAATCTTGAAACGCATTTTCAGCAAATCTTGTCCAAGAGGTCTGCTTGTTAAAGCAATAACAATATTATTAAAAATCAATTATCTATAAAATTGACTTTTGGGTGATGAGATGGCATATGTTCTAATTCTAATGATTGGCAAGATATTAGGAGAGTAAAATGTGCAAATGAGTGAACAGGAATGTAAACTGAAGTTATAGCTGAAATTTTCTGGGCTCCAGCTACCGGAGAAAGAGAAAAAGTTATCTGGAGTGCCGTGGCTTACTCCATGAGCACCTCCCATTTTGAAAAACACCCGCACCGGACATGGAAAGCCTGTCAAGTTGATCACGTTCCGTTCACGACTGCGCCGATTTACTTTTCCAAGGCGATGCATGTGGGGCTTGCAAATTGACTCGAGGTCTTGTCCAATACAATGACAATGCGGGTTTCAGGCTTGAGGCAATGCATGACACCAAAGAAATCAAGATCATGGAATATAGTCACCACCGTAATTTTAGTCATCATGCATTGCAGGTGGTTCACAAAGGCCTGCCATTGACCACACTATCGGCGTCTTAGCTTCAGCACTTGAAGATGAGCAATAATTCAGCCCTCTTAGATGGCTGAGAAATTACACTAAAGGATTCAAACGCAGTCAAACGCGTTTATTGAAGCTGTGGATCATAAGACGAGCCTTACTCTCCTCTGTGCACCGGATTCGAGATTATATTCTAAAACATCTCTTTCTTGAAACGTGCTATGAACTAAACTTGTAGTGTAAAGACATTATCAACAATCCTGAGGAGCTTTCGAGCAACACATCTATAAGAAGCTCAAGTTAAGAACAATACCCTGGTCTACTATGTCCTCTCAATAGCTAAAGAAAGCTTACAACGCTTGCCTTAGCTTTCTAAGCTTTTTGTAGTGATTTCTGGCCACTTCAATCATGACTCGCAGTCCAATCGCATTCGGGGTCTTTCTCTTCGGTTTGGTTTCGACGATTGTGTTTGCTTCGGATCCTGAGCCAACGACTGATTTTGTCCTTCCACGAGGTGTAGACTCTGCGATTCTCGATGGCAATTATTTCACCTCCACAATCCTGAGAAACGACACAATGGGATCAGGACCTTACTCGACGACGACCCAAGTCTCTGTTGAAAATTTTCCAGCTCTACAAGGATTGGGCATATCCATGTCACTCGCTCGGTATTCACCCGGAGCCGTTGTGAGACCCCAAATACATCCTCGGGCCACGGAGCTTCTCTACGTTTTGGAAGGAACACTGGATGTGGGCTTTATCGACAGCACCAACAAGTTGTTCAGGCAGACCCTCCAGACAGGGGATCTGTGGCTGGTGCCCCAGGGAATGGTTCACTTTCTCAGTAATCTCAACGACACCAGCGAAGCAAGGGCCGTGGCAGCATTCACCCGCTCAAATCCAGGGTATATTGATGTAGCTGCAAGTATTTTCGGATCGAACGAGCGAATTTCGAAACAGGTCCTTTCCAAGTCCTTCAAGGTTTATGAAAGTGTCATACAAACTCTGTTTGAAGCTCAAGAACAAGAACCCATCTCGAGCTCAGTGAGAGCTTCTCCGTGAACTCAGTTGGCCGTTCTCAGATGCAGCCTTTTTGTAACTCATACTCAGAGTCACAAAAGAATTCCCAACAACCCTTTCATCCACCAGCAGTATATATCCTCTGTAGTCTAGTTTATGCTTTGTGATCTGACAAGAAGTTTGAAAGGAAGTACGTTCAATATCTTATTCAGCAGCTGAACTTCTCCAGCTACTGTGTTTGAAAATGTCAAAATTTTCAATTTTCAAACTCTGCTCACTTGTCGGACAACTTAGACTACGTTCACTTTACAAAAGCATTTGTAAATGTTGCTTGTGTCCGTTCGAAGGACTGCAGGTAGAACATTCAGATGACTATTGGTCACATCATCTGCTGAACAATTTTTTCGTCCGTACTATGTATAAAAATTGACTCTGTATGTTGTTGTAGTCAATCTCTAAGGTGCGTCGCATTATGAGGTACTTGTAAGGAGGATACAGAAAATCGCTCGCAATCTCGAATGGACATGTACTCGATGTACATGTACTACAGCAGCGCAGACGCAAAAATCTGCAGGTTACCTTCGTATCTCCAATTCGCAAGATGATAAACTATCAGTCTAGTGATGGTTAATGACTTGAACCAGATTAATTTGTTGATCACTTGCTCCACTTTGGACTAGAAAGAGTCGTCAGGACCGAATGCAGGATTCCATAGATATTTTGTGGAGAGTGCTGGAAGAGAGAACCTTGATTTAGAGGGACTGAATATCTCTTGCCTTGACGTTTACATAATGTAGATCTCATCTCGTTGTCCCAAATCGTTCTGAGTAATTAGCTTCTTTCGAAGAACTCATTGGTGAACCATGAGGGGTCTCACACCGTCCGAATGTCCATTAGCCTGAAATTGGTTCTTGCCAACAGAAGTGGTTATAGTGTGTTCCTGTTCGAGTGACTGACTGACAACTGCAGTCAGTTGCATCTACTTTCCTCTCCTTTTCTTCACCTCGGAGCCTTGAATCAAGAATTATTAAAAGAAAGAAACAAGATGCAAAAGACCCGTCAAGATGACTAGGCTGACTTCTGGTTTCCATTCTCAGATTTTCGATTGAACTGAGTTTAAGTATCCACTCAAACCTGCAGCACATTCACCTGCCGAACCTTATCTGGTTTACCTTTTGTTTACATGCAAGAACAAAGACACCCTCTCAAAGTTCTAGTGGAGAACATGCTTTTAGTCATCTACAGTGAAAGTATCAGCTCTAACGTTGACAATGATTCCTGATCCACATTCTATAAATGAGTACAAAGCTTTTTTCTGCTTTCAAAAGTCAACATGATAAAGTCGGAGATCTTCTCAACCAGGAGATTGGAATTGAAGTTCACACTATCTTTTTAGGATTTTTTGTTTTTTTAATCTTCATAGTAAGTGTATGAGATACTACAAAAGTGTCCTAACAACTCAAACAGTAAAAATTGATGAAGAATGTGCATAAATGAGTCGGTTTCCAATTGTTAAGTGATCCAACATGCTGAAAAGTGGTGCTTTATAATCCCAAAAAGTAACGCTGGACACCAGAGTACACCAGAGTGGTACCAATAGTACACTTCTGCTGCCTATTGCTCTGCCTCTCCAATCAGAAATTTGCTTATGTATGAAACAGAATTACCTCAAAGTCAAACATTCGGTATTCTATTGATGATGGAAAACTCTCCTTTACAAAGTCAGAGCCAAGGCAAAACACTCTATACTATCAACATCAATATATTTAGCATTCGTTCTATCATAACTATGATTGTAGTTCCGGAACCAATACTTTTTACACTTTTGTAAGCTTTGGCTCTCTCTTTTTCTCTTCAGAGCATCTTTGAGCAATTGGGACTCTCAAAATTCTTTGAGACCATCTTGAGAGCATGTCTGAGTTTCAATTGAGAGACTATAGACGTCAATTTCAAAATGAATTTGACCTGGTTCAAATAAATTTTGTGGAACAATTCATGGTTTGGATGCTCTAAATATATCAACTAGTTTGAGTATTCTAAACTTCCAGATATTCAAGCAATAACTTGCACAATTTCATAAAAATCAAAATCGCAATTGTCATATTTAGTAAGAGAGATGTACTTAGAAGACAACATACCAGTTTTCCCTTCATTGTTGTTGTGTTTAGTTAAGAAGATTTTGAAATGATACTTGTCAAATTTTACTCTTCCATTTGTAAATTGCATTTTGGAATTGAAGCTCCGAGTTCATACGATGCTAGCTACCATCAAGGTTTGCAGTATTATTGATTAGCCTCCAGCTATCAATCTATACAACAAGTTTATCCAAGCCAGAGAAAACACATTGCACAACCACAAGGAAGTGACTCACATACCCATTTCATGGATGAAGTAAAGTCGAGCACAGTCATGACTTGCAGAGAGACGAGTAATGAATAGTGATCTGGATGGAACATGGTAAGAGTGATCAGCTACTACAACAGTCTTGATGGTAGCTAGCATGAAATCAAGATGTTAAGAAGTCACAATCTAGAAAAAAAATTGAGTTCCATGTTGCATGGTAACATTCTCAAAAATTTGGAGAAGAATTCAGAGGGATAGATTGTAGTTGTTCAGAGTATACAATCGGTATAATACGATATGGAGAAAAACTTCACTTTTAGAAAGTTTCATTTCATAACACTGTGATTTCAACATGGAAGATGTGAATCATGTGTGAATATATGATCTCCAACATATAAAGTATAAAATATGGATTGATTTATACTTTTTTGAAGATTATGATATTGAATCTTAGTATACTTATGACTATACATTGATCTTGGAAAGATTATATGAATCTTGTTTGTACAAGAAAACTCATGACTCTTTCAATAAGTTTAAGCAAAATATATTATGGATTGTGAGATGTAATTATTTATTGTTAACAAGATATGAAATCTAGTGTAGTTTTTAAAATCAATTTTTGGTTGAAAGAAAATGGGATAAAATCTGAAGTACAATTGAATAAGTGACAAAAGTAAAATATTCAAAATCAAGTTGATGGCCAGGAGTTTCACATAAAAGAAAGGTGTGACTATAATAATTTTTGTTTTTCTTGTAACATAATATGTTATATCGTGATTAGTAGATGCACTTGCTGCAATGTTTAGTTATATTATGGATTGAATGAATTTTTTAAAAATAATTGATTTTTATTATGAAATAATCAAATGTTATTGAGAAAAAAGTTTGAAAAAAGTTTGTTTGTGAATTGATGAAATCATGATTTGGATTAAATCAAGCTCTTAAGCAATAAAATGCAAGATTTGATGCTTTTATAAAATTAAAAGGTTTGTATGAAGTATCTGTGATCTATATGTATACATAAAAAGTTAAATAATAAAATTTTCAGTATTATTATTTTATTCCACTATGTGATAGACATGTTCATTGTGACAAATGATCAAATTCACGTTGATAGATGTAAGAATCAAATGAATTTTGCATGCAAGATAGAAGATTTTGATACTTACAAGAAACCATTAAATATGTATGTGTATGATAATCTAAAAAGAAAAAGTTATCAGCAAATCAAGACATATTCATTCAACATATGCTCGACATGTTTAACATGAAAGACTTTGAAGTACTTTGTATTCAGTTTTTAGCACATTTCACGTTTTTTAAGTTTAAGATTTGATTTATGCCAATCAAAAGAAAAATATGTCATCTCTTCATTACGTCAAAGAAATGAATAGCATGTTAGGATATAATTTAAAATCACATATGTTAAGTGTTGATTTTTGTGATTGTGCATTTTTGTACTAATTGTGTGAGTATGTTTCAAATTTTTTTAAATTGAATGACATAAAAATTGATTTCAAAGCTTAGAAATTTTCAGACAAGTTGCTCATTATGAGCTTTATTAAACTGTGTTTGCATTTTTTTTCTTAGTTTACATGCATGATTAACTATTTGTGTGTAATTTTTGATCTACACAAGAGTTTACCAAAAGACTTTTTTAATATTGATAAGATGTCAAAAGGTATGGAAAAGGAATGCATTTTTATATTTTTGTGATTTTGAATCTATACACAAGTTTAGAAAATGACTATTTTAATAATGATCAAATATTAAGAGGTATGATAGAGGAATGTAAAATGTGTAAAGTATGCACACTATTAAGGTGATTGATATCTTGTCAACAACAACATGATTTCAAGCACATGATCTACATCCATCGACATTGAATTGTGCACATATTAAATTTCACAAGACAACACGATGATAACATGAAATTCTACAGAGGACTTGGTCTGGGCTGCATGCATTGGCTTTGTCAATTGTTAGTTTGTGCGGATGAGATTGAAAATGTATATGCACATTGTGTACAAAAATCACTAGAATGAACATTAAGCATCAAGGTTGAAAAAGAGTAGAAAAAAAGAGATAAATAGATAGTGAGTTTGGATAGTAGATTTAACTCAAAGCCAAAGTTCTAAGGTTTGAAACAAAATTGCAGTTCAAAAAATAGATGATTGTGTTATAATTGATGTGCAAAATAGCAGGCTACTTGCAAGTTTATTGATTGGCTTACAAATCCATCTCTTCTTCTTGACAAGACATTAAACACAACTTAAAAGAGTTTCGTCAAAGGGAGCGTTTGGAATTAAAAGAGTGTAGTTTAAAAATTAAATAATTAAAAGGTAAAAATTTCCTCTATCTTGTTGTAGATATACAAGCGTGGAAAAAAAACACTTTTGAAAAATGTTTAAACCTGATTTAGTTGAAAAAACATCGTTCTTGAGGATTATATCTTGTGACAAATCTTTCTACAAACTTTTTCTTCTTTCTTTATTGTTGTTTATGTCCAACCTTGAAAATAGTGCAAGCTGAAGAAGCCTATATTCACTTTGAAAATTCATGTGCTTTTTCCGAAATGTGACTCATCAATACAATAGGATGAAGACTCAAAAACGATGTAGTTGGATCTTCCAACTCACGCATTGTGAGAAATTTATCTTTGTAAAAGCTGCATATATGTGGTTTTGAATCTAGACTAAGATATCAATTACTTGGAAATTATTCAAAAAAACGCAATATTTTGTATTACATGTTTATGCAAACAATAAAAAAATCAGATGGAGTTTAATTAACATCAAAATATTTCAATTCATGTTATCAAAGTTGTTGATTGATTTCAATTTTACATCAAAGTCCATTTAGAATCAACTTTTGAACTTTGGCTTTTTTTTATCATTGATGAGTGGTTTTTTCACATGAGTGAAAAACAAAAATAATTTATATAGACTTCAATTTTGAATATTGAACAGAAAAAAACAACTATCATGAAGTTTGACGTAGCTTGATATAACATAGTCAGATACAATAAACTTGATGATTTTGCTTTGAAAGAGTCAATTGTCAGA